GATCACATGTCCAGACTGGGAATTCTGGAGGAATCTCTCCATCTTTTTAAAGCCATAATACTTTAGTGGCTGCTTTATAGTGGCCACATGCAATAGGAATGACAGGATTAGAAGAGTTAAGAGCAAGAGGGGAAAATGGCAAAAGGTGTCCATCGCAAACCAAAGGGTCCATCATTAAATTTCAGTAGAGAGACAGAAGGACAACCCTCTTAAAAGGAAGCTGGAAGAAAGCACGTGGCAAATAATAATTATCGTGTGCTACACAGTTCAGGTCAGGATGTATTAATTCCTTTGTCCTGGGGGAACGGAGGGTGGTGTTGGTTTACAGCAAATCCAGGGAAAAGCCGTTGCCCTGATTGAATGAACTTTGCACCTGTGTTGTAAAAGGAAGGGTGTGTTGTTCTTTGCCCATATTTGCCTTGCAACTGTATGCACCTACAGTACGGTTGGTATTTTTTTTCCTTACTCACAGGAAGTATCTACGGACATGCGTGTACATTAGTACCATGTCTCTAACGACTATGTTTGTGGCTACCAGTGCAGATGTACAAGTAGGCTTTAGAGCCTGTGAATTTTAATGTTAAAGTAGGGTAGGCTGAAAAGTGAAGGAAAACAGTAAAAAAACACATTTAAAACTAGGTTTATCCTCAGATAACCTGGATATTAAAAATAAAATAGCATTTTTCCTGCACCACTTTAATATGGACGTGATAGGTCTTTAGTTTTCCTGCAAATTATGCACATGCATATGTCTCTACATGTACTGAATGTGCTAGCACATTATAGGCATACATAGCTAACTTTTTTTGGGGCTCAGGTTGCATAAGCAGAGTGTATCATGTCCCAGAGACCCGATATTGCCGACGGAGGGAGGATGGTAACAGGCAGGCCTCACAGTTCTTCCCCACCGTGGATCATGTGGCACATGCCGCAGAAGGTGGGTCACCCAGCTGGGCTGGTTCTGTCTGAGCATTCAAAGAAACACAACCGCAGCCACTACTCCATCCTAGAGGTGGAAATTTCAGGTCCAGAAAGTACAAATCCGAACCAATACTTTGTTTCAACCAACCAGCTCAGTATTAAGAGTCACCGTCACAGAGCACTCAAGTGGTTGGCTGAAACAAAACCGGATTTTTACTTTATGTCCACCTGTGTTCCATTCTAAAAACATCCTCATAGGAATATGTATAGTCTGTCAAGTTTGAATGTCTTTTAACAGTGAACCAGAAGATGTTATTTTTTAAACATGTGCATGTGTGCATACTGTGTTTGTGTGATGTTGGTGAATATGAAAAGCAGGCTTTAATTCAGCTAATGAGGTGACCTTGCTGGTTCCCCCATAGCTCCTCACTTTTTTAAGCAGCAGCTCTTAATGAATCTTAAGCCTGCAATAGAAAGAATGAGATGGATTATGAGGCTAAATGGAAGCATCCATCAAGCAATTCAAGCACGATCACTTTGACTAACAAAGTCAAAACTTACCCACTTTGCTAGGACCAATAATTAATATGACAAAAGACTGGAACAAACATAGGTACTGCTTTTTGTGACAACCCCTTGATCATTAGTGAAAGTAAATTAATGGTATTTGTTCCCATTCTTTTTCACGTTGAACGACCCATGGTGGAAATGGCTCTCCACCACAACAATGCTAAGATTAGCGGCATGTGACATTTTCAGCATATGAATATTCATGAACGGTCTCAACTGTATTGCTGCGTGAAAGGGGTCAGAAGAATCACTGCCAGAAAGGGCTCAGTATTATACATGCCTAGAATTAAATATTTAATTTAGTCATTTTAGTAAAGTCATGTAGTGACAAGCAGATGACTAACATAGAGCTCACAATGTACTTCCTGTTTCCATTGCCTAAGTTCACTGGGAGTGGGGGGCAAACAGGGGCATGAATGAGCTGATAATACAGACCGGCTGATTCAAGATAAACCCAATGCAGGAATCTCTCTGCTGTTTGGCAAAATGCCGCTTTACCAAACTGTGAATCTTAATCTCTTTGTTACGTTATAGTCACACAATTTCAAGCAATTAATATTAAGGGAAAATACACTGGAATGTTACGAAGGTAACATATACCATACATACTACAAGTAATTAAGTGATCATATTTTATTTTTATATGCTTTTATAAGGAATGTGTCAGAACATTTTATGAGGGGAATTTGTTTAAACCAGGAAGATTATATTTTAGGGCGCTCTTTGTAAACAGCCGAAAATAACACTGTTATCTGGAATATTTCTTTAAATGTGGATTATTTTAAGTCTCCAGTCTCAAAAGAAACATTCTGAGTGACTTTGATTTTTATTGACTTACTTACTTGCAGCAATTGTCTGATGGAATATTTACTTTACTCCTTGGCACAGAGATGTTAAGAAACTAGTAGCTAGGTTTGTTGTATAAAGAAAAATCATTCATGTGTTGTTTCCTCCATCTAGGGTTGACCCGTCCCAAGAGATGATTAGAGATGATAGATCATATTTAGTCATTTTGCAGTTTGGTTCTTTTTGCCCTCCTCTTCTGGAGAAGGCCGTGTAGAGATAGATATGGGTAGGCCTCGTCCTCTTCTTGTTTTCAAAATAAACAGTGAGGTCCTGTGATAAACTACCACATAGCTTCTATTAGAATAGCAGTCACAAAATTGAGAAGACGTATGTGCAGGAGATAAGGAGAAGGGACTTTGAAAAGGAAAAGGGATTCTTTATAAGTCATAGAGATGACATTGAGCCCACTCAGCATCCATAGAGGATCAGTGTTTTAATGGTCTTCTAACAGATGTTTCCCTGAACAACTACACAGAGGTTTCAATTTCCTAGGGACATCCAAGTGATGGCCATTACACAGTGACAGTCCAGGACGGACGAGAAACACCAGCAGAAATTCCCAAAATTTCCAATGGCCTTGCGATTGTAAGGTTGCTGATTCAAATTGCCAGCTTGCAAAGTTCTGTTCCCCAGCTGCTGAATTCTCCACTACATAGGACACATTTTGCATGTGTCAACAATGACAATTAATCACTTTCACTTCATACAATAAACCAGTTTTAAAAATTTATGATTCCTTTGATCATTCCTTTTTATAATGTTTTCTGAATGCATGTCTAACAACCTAAAAGGTAAAAAAAAAAATACATTATATAAAAACATCAGTAACACTTTACTTGAAGCTATCATCTATAATGCATTATAGATACCATCAGAAGACATTGTAATGGTTGATATAGAAAATCATAAAACACTGCTGCATCTTCTATTGGCAGTCATAAGGCATTATAGTGTTGATTATAATACCTCATGAGCTCTTATGAAGGTATCTATAGTGTATTATAGATGAGAGCTTCATGGAGCATTCATAAAGCATAATAAACATGGCTATAATGTGTTATGCCTTTTTATAAACATTTAAAACTATCTTTATAATGCTTTATATACAGTATGCATTACGGTGTTTCATTAATGTGCTTATGGATTCGTATAGAAAGGGCATTGATAGAAGGTGTTACCAAAACATCAATATCCTTACTGAAAAAATTTCTGTGAATTTTTTTTTTTATTATTCTGCATATACAAGGTGGCACAGTGACTCAGTGGGTAGCTACGAGTCCGTACTCCTTCAGGGGTGAAGGTTCTGTTCCTTGCTCTGACTCTCTGTGAGTTTGCATGTGTATTTTTTCCTTAATCCAAAATATGTGGGTTGGTGTCCCTGAAGTAGCCCATCGTGTGTGACAGTATGTGACCTGATGTAGCCCATCGTGTGTGACAGTATGTGACCTGATGTAGCCCATCGTGTGTGATAGTATGTGACCTGAAGTAGCCCATCGTGTGTGACAGTATGTGACCTGAAGTAGCCCATCGTGTGTGACAGTATGTGACCTGAAGTAGCCCATTGTGTGACAGTATGTGACCTGATGTAGCCCATCGTGTGTGACAGTATGTGACCTGAAGTAGCCCATTGTGTGTGACAGTATGTGACCTGATGTAGCCCATCGTGTGTGACAGAATGTGACCTGATGTAGCCCATCGTGTGTGACAGTATGTGACCTGAAGTAGCCCATCGTGTGTGACAGTATGTGGTCTGAGATGGTACATCCCAGGCGTTATAGGCCCTGTTCATCCTGGGATAATGTCCAGCCTCCCCCATATCCTGTACTGGATAGGTGGTTAGGGATGATGAGTGAGTGAATGGATTGTACACCTCTGGAGAAAATTAAGAAAGCATGTAAAATTTTTTGTTTCACTCATTTCTCAAATTATGGGTATGCACCTGTATAAAATACACATTTTTTGCAAACTCCAGCCTGGCTCTTCCCTGCTATTCATGAAGGGCTTCTTCTTTGCTTTACTGGACTTCAGTCCTGCTTCTATGAGCCTGAAATGAACTGTCCTAGCAGTGCACTTCACACCTGCACTAAATGTTTCACATTCTTTGTGAAAGTGGTTTGATGTCATCCTCCGATTCATGAGAAACTGTCAGATAAGTTAACTGTCATCTCTGGCATTAGAAAATCCCTTCCACCCTTTACCTGGCTGGTTTCTGGTCATTCCCAGTGTCTCCTGCTTCACCTTGTTCTTGGGTGCTGCTGTCTTCCAAACTTGGAAGCAGTCTGCCTCACAGTGTAGCCTTCTGCCAGCAGAACCAGAATTAAACCAGGATTTTTAAATGCATATTTAAAAAAAATATATATAGAGTGGATTTTTTTTTCCACCAGATGAACATATGAAGGTGTATGCTTTTCTTTTTTGGACTGGTGAAATCTAAATATTTTTTTATGATAAAAACATCTTCATTATAATGGAGTAATAATACAAAATAATATTTAAATGCATCATCTTTACAGCCACATTTTGCACGTTTTCACCTTGCCAGATTCCGTGCCATTAATCTTACTACATGAAGCATTCGGTACTTTTTAGGTCCTTTGGTCCACTTGGTATATTCTGTATAGAAGTGGGTGTGGAAGACCTGCCGATAGGGAGGGCGGTAACAGCGGGTTCTCAAGTTTGAAGGGACACAGGGAGCCTTTCCGCAACAGGCAGACACCCACCGCAGAGGCGAACATGGCCTCGAAAGGAAAATGCCCGCTCCGCACGGATTTCTACCTCTTGCTGCTGGGCATATTATCTTGTATTCTCACCTGTTTCGGATTTAATCTAGACGTTCGGTTCCCAGTTATAAAAGAAGGAAAGACGAAAGGTAGTTTCTTTGGGTTCTCCGTAGCTCTCCATAACCAGACAGAAGGCTCTCAAAGATATCTGTAAGTACCCTAACAGGTTACATTTCTTCCCGCAGCAAGTGAATATCGTTTCCACTTTTGTAGAAGTAGCAGTCTTGGAGATCGTCCTTCCTTAAATAAATAACATATACAGTATATGTGAATAGAGAGCGTGCAAACTTGCAGTGGTGTTGCTGGTAGTTGCTGATATTAAGAGGCACTGTTATTGCGCTGCGTGTTACGGCTTCGTCGCCTTACCTTAGTCACACCGGCCAAACCGTGGCCACCTGATTATGGTCAAAATTAGAGGGCATCCATTGTGTACAGTGTAATCTAATAAGAAAGGCTCGTTTTAGAACAGTACTACCTGCCACTTGTCTTCGCCTACAGCATAAAATAAACCTTTCATCTGCCAACGACGGCTAAAGTAAATAAAACAAGAAACCCTTGTAATATTTCCGAATTTCATTCCGATTTCATTCATTCAGCAAAATAAATTTTCTTTTCATGTCAAAGTTAAAGTACGGGAATATCCCTAATAATTTGTTCCTTGGACAACCATATCTTTGGTAACCCTATTTAGAAATCACTGTAAACTGGAATAGTGGGTGTAAAAAATTGTTTATTAGTTCCCAGGACTGCAGCAAATAGCCTAGCTGATCTACAGCTGACACTGAAGAAGACTATTTTTCAATTAATGCCTTTGTCAGGAGTGTTACAGATTACGGCATCCCCTGCATCTCTCTTTTGCCTCAAAGTGCATTAAAGCACCTTTAGATTTAAGCACGGACTTACATTTACGGAAGTCATAACGGAAGTTTCTGTTACTGTCTTGTACCCAGTAAACCGCGTCCGTCTGTTCAGCCGTATAATTAGTTAATTATAGACTACCTAGTATTAAACTGAGCCTGTGTGCTTATCAGTGTACAGTATATGTAGCCTATTCTTTCATGTAACGTTTATTCACGGTGCTAAATTAATTATCTTTAAAAGAATAATTTTTCCCGATTAATTATGACTTTATGCATGAGGTATGGCAACACAGAATAAGTAGCCTACAAATAAGGCTGCATGCAGTAAGCTAAGAATGTTTATTAGTTGTTTATTAGCGATCATTTATAATGGACCAATCAGTCCAGCTGAGAACATCATTTACAACCAGGGCCGGCAGTGGATTATGTTTTACTCGGTGTAATGAAACTGCAGGAGACTGTATTCAGAATATGTCTAGAACAACATGCACGTCATAAATGTTACAGCGAACTAGACGAAGCTATATTTTTATGCATTTCAGAATTATTTTGTGTGACATTTAATGCTATATGGATCGGAAAGCAAAGTAGGAATACGTTAAAATTAAATAGATCAGAGGGCTTGGCTAACGGTATTTATTTTCTGATATAGTTCTGATGTTCCGACAGAAAGCAGGACATTTCGCCCTCTTCCTCAGTAACGTGGGATCGTATTAGCGGCAAAAAGCATTAGCATTGTTTGGACCTTTGGTATTGTGGCCCCAGGTAAAACAGGTGGTCCAGCAGGGCTCTGTAGTGAATGGCAGTAATTGTTTTGGATGGAGGTGCTTAGAAATCCTGCTGCCATCTTGGAAAAACTGCAAAATATAAAGTACAGTTGTACGTAGGTTGAATTGGTGACTTTCTGCACTGCGGTGTTTTATTTTGTTGTTTTGTTAATGTCTTTAGTGGCATATACTGTCCTGTGCTTTTCAAAAGGGGGAGGGGGGGTGGATTACCAGCTGTGGCTGTTTTTTTTTCCCTATCATTTTTAGGGGATCTATCTAAGTAAAGTGCAATAAAGTTGAGGCAGCTGAAATGCCTTCAGGTGGGACTTTGTGAGCAATAACAATGTAAGATGCTGTTTGGACTGAGATTGCAGGAGTAGCCAAGGAGATTCCATGTGTTGGAGCGATACTCTCCTCCTCACTGCGCTTACACTGTTTAATTCCCAAGCATTTGTCCAAATTGAAGATAGTCATGCCTTTGGTTGAGTGCCACAGTAGAACATGCTGATTAATTACACATGTGTGGCATGTCCCCCTAAGTGCAGGTGGTACAGTGGTTAAGAACATAGGCTCATTAACTGAAGAGTATCTTTGCTGTAGTGCCCTTGAGCAAAGTAATTGACTTTATAAATAATAATCGATACTTTATTGATCTCTGTGGGGAAATTCCCTTTATGGCTCCTTCAACTTGCTCTTTTTTGTCGAGTAAGCTGCCCGCAAAGGGCAGCCACCTGTAGAGGTGCCCAGGGAGCTGGCGGTTAAGGGTCTTACTCAAGGAGCCACAGACGTGCTGAGGCTGGGTTTGAACCAGCAACCTCGTGATTACAGGCACACAGGCTTAGCCCACTGAGCTACATACTGCCTCACAAATATTGCTCTATGAATAGATTTTTTTAAAGATTGTTTTTAAAAAGGTGTTTGTCAGGCAACCGAACATAAACGCAGCTAAACTCACCTTCCAAGCCAGCTTTGATGCCAGCTGCGCATAGTCAGTTCTTATTGTGTGGCAGTATTGCTGAGTAACAGTAGAAGGAATCGGTAATAAAAGCTAATTCTGCTCTGGCCTCCAGTAGCACTGGGCATCAAGCTGCATGGTGCCAGCTCCTAATTGGCCCAGAATCCTGCCTGGCTAGCTTTCTGTGCAGGAAGCACCGGGCAGTGGCTGACTGTGTCTTGGGCTTGTGGGGGCTGTCTGGTGGGGGGAGGGGGAGGGACAGATGGCTGTCGTCCAGCAACTGCAGTCCAAAAGCTGGGGGCGTGGTCCCCGTAATAAGGCTGGATGGTGTGTAAGGAGCTCCTCTGAAGGACCTCATCTCTGAGCCTCGTTGTGTTGTGACGGCCGGGGACAGAGCGGCACACGTTCATCCTTAGTGTTTTAAATTGCTAAATGATTATTTGATATGAAAAACATGTTTTTACCATATTATTGGCTTTTATTGGTTCACATCTAATTTAAAACATCTGTTGCTCCTTGCATTGTTTTTTGAGCATCAAAGGAGATTACGTGTGTCACTGTCAAGCAAAATACTGTTTTTCTTGGTCTCCCTGTATTGTGGTTTATGTTTTATGGGCACCCCAGCTATGTCTACATGATTTCCCCACAATAATGTGTTTTTTTTTCCCCCAGTCAGCTTATTTTCTCTGGATGCCATGCTATGGAGCATTCAAAGAATGCTGAAATGGGGTAGAGAGAGCGCTCTAATCTGCTCAAAACACGAAGGAAATATTTAATTGAAGACATCCTTGAAATATTAGAAACATCTGAGTTCATCTGAGTCCTTTTTCCACAGAAGGAAAAGGACAGTCGGGGCTGGGTTCACTAATTTCATAAGCAATCAAAGACAAGTATGGGGTTTAGAAGCTAGAGCTCAGTGTCTGTTCGTCCACCTGCCTGCCTACACACCTGCAAGTTAAACACAGCAAAGGGAGTGCTGCATACCACAGTGCAGATAAGAGCTACCTACTGAAGTCTGGAATGTTGCAGAACCCTTAGGCAGCTTAAGTGCATTTATTTCACTAGTCCCCTATGTGTTTGCCTCCTTTCCTGTGCCCTCCCCCACAGTCTGGTTCAGGCCATGCCTGAGCTTAGCCCTTCTGCTTATTCCACAGTGATGGCTTATGTCCGCCTTCTGATTGGCCAGTCCGGTCTCACTGACCTTAAGGAATCCCTGGAATGCTTGGCCCTTTGCTGTGTGCATTGCCTGCCGAGTGGCAGGTTGGGACAGGCCTGCTGATGGAGGTAGTGCAGGTAGTGCAGAAGCCAGTGGGCTTGTTTATTAGGTTTTTGGCTCTGTGAAGGACAATCGGTAGCGCTACCCCTACCCAAAACACATTCAGTTACCTGTCTGTTGCCCACTGGTCCTGGTTGTCCATGATTTACAGCTATCAGACTGCAATTATTTCTTTCCAAACTAAGCTTTTCATTAGCATATGGTAATTACCTTCTTAACGGTACAACAGTTTGCACCTCACAATCTACTGCTCTGATTTTTTTGCACTATAGCATTTAAAATACATTTTGTGTTCAACTTAAATAAACCCTTGAAGCCTGTCATGAACGGGCATCCCATCCTGGGTATCTCCTGCCCTGTGCCCCATGATGGACTGGCATCCCATCCTGGGTATCCCCTGCCTGGTGCCCTATGATGGACTGGCATCCCATCCTGGGTATCCCCTGCCCTGTGCCCCGTGATGGACTGGCATCCCCTCCAGGGTGTCACACCATTTGTTCACCCTGCTTTGTTGCCTGTGCTGTCTGGGATGTGATCTAGAATAGATCCTCCCTTTGTGACCCTCTGATTCATACAGTATATACATGTACTGTTGGACAGGCTGCATCCATTCTATTTATATTATAGTTAGCAATTTTATGAAAAAGATTATGAACAGAGTGCTGTAGCATATTGTCCATCTTCCCTGTATCTCTTTTGGCTAAGCTACTTCTCTGATTTTCACTCTGCTTATTTTATTACTCTTTCCAGTTATTCTCCATTTTCTAAAATGGTCAAATCACCTCTTTTATGTTCCTTCTTGCACTGCTGTTTTGTAGGATGAAATCTGACCAGAGCTTGGTCCTGTCAAGGTGGCTCAGCACAGGAATTACACTTTGGAGACTGCAACAATGACACCATACAGACAGCCAGTAATCGGCCTGTAATCCCTTAGTGTTTTTAGGGGAACAGAAAATGCTTTAAGTGTTGAACTTGGCAATTTCATGTCCCCGTGTGAATGTCCTGCCTAGAGTTGGGGGATATATCAACTTTTTGTGATATATCAGTATATTTTCTAAAGCGGTATACTGTAGGATGAGACAATACTCTTTATATTAATATACTTTTACCATGTGTTAAAATTGAGTCTGTCAATGTTAACGTTAATTTAAAAATCATAACACCTTATTATTTCTTATTGAATGGAGGAATAGCATGAGATATAGGATGATACAATACAGTTTATCGATTTACACTGCCTGGCCAAAAAAAAGTCACCGCTTGAATTTAAATCAGCAGGTTCTTAAAAGTCA